GACTCTGGCTACGTGGCCCAAGTCTCTTACCAGGGAGAGGCTCAGTACCCCCACTACCAGCCATCCTACTCCCCCGCCCCAGCCTACAGACCTGCACCAAGCTACACACCCACACCCTCCTATGGCTAACCGTCATTATTGGTGGAAAAAGTGTTGATATATATGTATTATTTTTAATAAAGAAGATTCAAGAAACAATGAATTTCATGTTTGAGATCTTTCTTCAGTACATGACAGTTATTTACATCAGGTAGACTCAAGAACACCTCGTCATACATTGAGTTTTTATTGCCATCTGCTAACAAGACGACACCATCGATAGTGAGATGGTGGGTCGGTGTTAACACAGTACCTGTCTACCCACCAGTCGAAAAAACAGGAGACATTTATAAGACCAAAACACAGGCCACTGGAACACCAAAAACCTGTTTATCCTTACACTAAAATACTGAGACGGGTCATCCTCAGAAGCAGTTGAAGACAAGACACATGTGGAGAAATGTGTAATGCGTCATAGAGCGGTTGATGAACACTGCCATAACCAACCAATGTCATAGAACTATATTGAAAGGATTTATGCATGAAACGGCAGAAGACGAAATCGGAGTTACAAAATGATGACTAACTAAACTCACTCCAAGAATTCTTAAGTATAACGAGTCTACTTGCGAGAGCTGTACTAATCTTTAACCTATTGATAACTAGCTATTGATTGTGTCTTTGAGGCATTATATTAAGCTTCAGCCTACCAACAACTCAATAGTGTTCGTGTAGTGAAGTAACGCCAGCAGAAACATGTCCATGCTCAAGATTACGTCACGTGTCACTACAATGAAAATCAGTGGAATCGGACACAAAAGTTGCCCTGTTTATAGAGAACCCGAGGAAACGTTGGTGTTTTTACTAAGTTGTCCATCTACGCCAATACACAGGGACCTATTTTTGGAAACATTTCCCTGGTTAAACTTTTTAGTTGAAAACTTTCAATAATTTGTATACTTGAAATAATGAGAATTGTTACACGATATACAAGACTTCATTAGACCTCAGCACACAAGCGTCTTTTTTCTACTGTGGACACAACCCTTTAGTTTCCAATAGTACAAACTGTTAAGGTTTTATGGATCAAAACACACTGATGGACTTGATCTAATAAGCATTTTACACCGGTTTCTTATACCAGCATCAGTCATCAACTCAGTCGTCTGATCATTACGAAGAGAAAAAAATAGCAAAACGGACAAGTATCACATACCTCCAGGACCAGGCAAGTATTCTCACCTGTCTTCTTACAATAACAATGTTTCTGCAGTCGACCAGTTTACTGTTGGCTTCAATTTAAAGGAAGCTGTGGATTCTGTAGACTATGGTAGCGGTAAGTTGCGTAATAATTAATGGCTCATACCAAATTAATAAGACTCTCCAGTCTAGTGTTTACCGTCTCGCCCCTGTCACCCCTGCTGCTTCATGTGATACGGTTATCCCAGATTGTATTACTCCTCAGTCTTACACATTCCCTTCAGCTTAATTCATCTTAGCAGTGTAAAACAGGATTAATGAAAATGAAAAGGAAGTTATGAAATTTGTCTTAAAGTTCAGCATATTAGGAACCATAGAAATAGGCAACACAGTGATACAATTCTCCTATCTGAGTTTTGAGATAAACATCACAAATGCACTGCATGTTGCAGACTATACTGTAAGGGAGGGTAGTTATTTAACTTTCATTTAACGAAGTTAATGTCTGATAGAAAGTAAGTTCATAGTCAATGGACAACAAACAACGACAGATAGTTATTTCGTAATTATTGAAGTCCGGGATCAGTCAAGGACCAAAACATGTTGGTTATACCCTGGAGCTGTAGACACACCTAAAAATTCACAAGGAAGTTAGAGAAAATAGAAAGGGAAGTATGTTTAGTCTCGACAGTATTTCAAGTCCTCATCAGAACATAAAATCAAATGGTCAGAGCCTTTGCTTAATTTCTAATAGAGAGTTTTAGTCACTGACTTAATTTTACGTGTTTGTGAAATTTTATGATAACATGTATACATATCTCGACACCAATCTCTTATGTAAAGGTTAATGCCCTGTAGGTAAGTTGGCATGGTAGTAGTGGTGACCTGAGACCCTCCCACCTGTCATTCACCCGAGGACCCAGAACGTTGCCCAGCGTCCCCCCTCCTCCTCCACCCACACTAACCTTGGCAGCGAGTATATAAGGGAGAGGAGAGGCGTTCACAACACAGTCTCTCATAACCAACCAACATGAAGGTGAGCTAATACTACAGGGTATACGGATTATTTTTAATGTTTTCCTTTTGATTTTAAAGATGTCTATGTTTTAGACATTTTTTGATATATTGTCTATATGGCTGGTACGTTTAACATGTGAGTGATGTTGCTGTCGTCTTTTACTGAACATTATGTCTTTTGTTCCTCTACACAGGTCGTTCTTGTTCTAACACTGGTGGGTGTGGTTATGGCTGCCCCGTCCTACAGGCCCACTCCATCCTACAGGCCCGCCCCGTCCTATAGGCCCGCCCCGTCCTACAGGCCCACTCCATCATACACGCCTGCCCCGACCTATGCCCCAGCTCCCTCCTACAGGCCTGCCCCATCCTACAATCCAGCCCCGTCTTATAATGTAAGTCACTTGTGTCCATTATTTTTTTTTGTCGGTTCTTGTGGCGTGCAGATAAGAAATATATTGACATCAACGGTGTAATAATAGGATCATGTTATTCTTTACTGCAATCTTCCAGACTGTTCCCCAGTACAACTTCAACTACGCCGTGAAGGACGACTACTCTGGCAACGACTTCGGTCACGAGGAAGCTCGTGACGGCTACAATACCCAGGGGTCGTACTACGTGCAGCTTCCCGACGGTCGTCTGCAGACTGTGACTTACACTGTCAATGGAGACTCTGGCTACGTGGCCCAAGTCTCTTACCAGGGAGAGGCTCAGTACCCTCACTACCAGCCATCCTACTCCCCCGCCCCAGCCTACAGACCTTCACCAAGCTACACGCCCACACCCGCCTATGGCTAACTCTCATTATTGGTGGAAATAGAGTTGATAAATATGTATTATTTTTAATAAAGAAGATTCAAGAAACAACGAATTTCATGTTTGACCTCTTTGTTCAGTACATGACAGTTACTTACATCAGGTAGACTCAAGATCATCTCGTCTTAAATTGAGTCTCTTACAAACTACCAATATAGTTCTTCAGGTCTCATCATCAGAACAAGTTTTTCTTGCCATCTGCTAACAAGACGACTCCATTGATAGTGTGATTCTTGGGTTGGTGTTAACCCAGTACTTGTCTACCCACCAGACGAAAAACAGTTGACGTTTATAAAACCGCAACAGTGATTAATGTAAAACACAGGAGACTGGAACAGCAAAAAGCTGCTTATTCTTACATTAAAATAGTGCAACGGGTCATCCTCAGAAGCGGTGCCCTGAGAAGAGTTCCAACTTAAATGGTTGAGGACAAAATAAGTGGGGAGAAATGTGTAGTGCGACATCTGACGGTTGATGGACACCGCCATAACCAACCAATGTCATAGAAGTATATTGAAAGTTTTTATGCATGAAAGGGCAGAAGATGAAATCGGAGTTAAAAAAATTAAGACAACTATCAGATCACACTCCAAGAATTTTTAAGTATGACAGAGTCTACCTGCGAGACATAACTAATTTTTTGCCTGCTGATAACTAGCTATTGATTGTGTATTTGAAGCATTAACTTTCAGCCTTCCAACAACTCAACAGTGCTCGTGTAGTGAAGTAATGCTCAAGATTACGTTACATGTCACAACATTGAAAATAAATTGAATCCGTCCCCAAAATTTGCCCTGTAGATAACCCTAGAAAGCATTGGAGTTAGCACTAAGTTATCCATCCACGACAATACTTGGGGACCTAAATTTATAAGCATTTCCCTGGTTACAATTTTTAGGTGAAAACTTTCGATAATTTTTATACCTGAAAACATGAGAACTGTTTCCACGACTTATAAGACTTCATTGACCCTCAGTACATAAGCAGTTTTTTTCCTACTGCGAACACAACCCTTTAGTTTCCAATTATACAAACTGTTAAGGTATTCCAGCATTAGTTATCACCTGAGTCGCCTGATCATTAAGAAGAGAAAATTAATAGCAGAAGGGTTAAGTATCACGTACCTCCAGGACCAGGTAAGTGTTCTCATCTGTCTTCTTACAATAACAATGATTCTTTGGTTCACCAGTTTACTGTTGAATTCAATTTGGAGGAAGTTGTGGTGTCTGTATGCTATGCTAGCGGTACCATCCGAGCTCATATGCACTGGTCCTACTGCTTCATGTGATACAGTTATCCCAGCTTGTATTGCCCCTCAGTCTAAGGTGTTCCCTTCATCTTAATTCACCTTAGCAGTATAAAACAGGATTAACGCGAATGAAAAGGAACTTATGGCATTTGTTTTACCATTCAGCATATTAGAAACCATAGAAATAGCCAAAATAGTGATATAATTCTCCTATCTGAGTTTTGAGATCAACATCACTGAGGGTAGTTGTTTCAGCATCACTTTACAAAGCTAATGTCTGATACAAAGTGAGTTCATTGTTACTGGACAACAACAGCGGCAGAGAGATATTACGTGATTACTGAAGTCATGGATCAGTCAAGGACCAAAACATGATATATCAGTAATGTAGGTAATACCCTGGAGCTGTAGACACACCTAAAACCTCACAAGGAAGTTAGAGAAAATAGAAAGGGAAGTTTGTTTAGTCTCGACAGTATTTCAAGTCATCATCAGAACATATAATCAAATGTTCAGAGCCTTTGCTTCATCTCTAATTAAGAGTTTTATTTTGTAACTTAATCTTACGCGTTTATGAATTTTATAATAACATGTATACATATCTCGACACCAATCTCTTATGTAAAGGTTAATGCCCTGTAGGTAAGTTGGCATGGTAGTAGTGGTGACCTGAGACCCTCCCACCTGTCATTCACCTGAGGACCCAGAACGTTGCCCAGCTTCCCCCCTCCTCCTCCACCCACACTAACCTTGGCAGCGAGTATATAAGGGAGGGGAGAGGCGTTCACAACACACAGTCTCTCATAACCAACCAACATGAAGGTGAGCTAATACTACAGGGTATACGGATTATTTTTAATGTTTTCCTTTTGATTTTAAAGATGTCTATGTTTTAGACATTTTTTGATATATTGTTTATATGGCTGGTACGTTTAACATGTGAGTGATGTTGCTGTCGTCTTTTACTGAACATTATGTCTTTTGTTCCTCTACACAGGTCGTTCTTGTTCTAACACTGGTGGGTGTGGTTATGGCTGCCCCGTCCTACAGGCCCACTCCATCCTACAGGCCCGCCCCGTCCTATAGGCCCGCCCCGTCCTACAGGCCCACTCCATCATACACTCCCGCCCCAACCTACGCCCCAGCTCCCTCCTACAGGCCTGCGCCGTCCTACAATCCAGCCCCGTCTTATAATGTAAGACACATGTCGATTTCCAATTAGTATTAAAGATTCGTGCCACACAGGTAAGAATTAATGTTACATCAACTGTGCAATAGTAGGCCCATTCGTTATACTTTATCAAAGATGAACCAACTTTTATTTACTGAAGCACAAGGTTAAAAACAGTCTTTAATTCAATCTTCCAGACTGTTCCCCAGTACAACTTCAACTACGCCGTGAAGGACGACTACTCCGGCAACGACTTCGGCCACGAGGAAGCTCGTGACGGCTACAACACCCAGGGATCGTACTACGTGCAACTTCCCGACGGTCGTCTGCAGACTGTTTCTTACACTGTCAACGGAGACTCTGGCTACGTGGCCCAAGTCTCTTACCAGGGAGAGGCTCAGTACCCCCACTACCAGCCATCCTACTCCCCTGCCCCAGCCTACAGACCAGCACCAAGCTACACACCCACACCCGCCTATGGCTAACTCCCTTTCTTGACCGAAAAGGGAAAGAAATATTTATCATAATTTCTAAGTAAATCTAAAGAAATCATTCATTTCCTTTTGCTATCCTTTTCGACGATTGATTCTCATATCATATCATCAAAGTTCAAGAGTTCCTCGTTACATATTTGTCAATCTGATTTTTTTTTCAGGTTTTGTTATAGAACGTTCTACAGTATTATTATTTACAACTTGGCTCAACTTTAGTAAGGAATTATTTTCATCCATTAGCCAATTTTGACCTGAAGGTTATTTTTGTGATCCATACCGTGTGTTTATTTGTGGGCGGATCTGTAACTCGAAACTTGTAAGTAGTCTACAAAAATGAGTTGGATCAACTTGAAGGTTGGTTGTCTTCACCATTACCACTCAGGCGAGTCCATAAACATTTTGGGGGACACAGACTAGGAGGAGAAAGTTACTCCTGGAAAACAAACCTGACTTAGTTTTATATAGAAGTAAGATTAATCATAGTATTTCTAGATAAAGTATCAGCGTAAGACACCTCTAAATTTTCCTTCTCGGTTCCTAAATTCAACCACTAGTTTAAGTGAAATCTGGAGTTCTGCTTAAAACACAAAAACAAAAGGTCATCTGCCTGATTTGGTAAAGTAGTTAGCTCGTGGTTACAAGCACAACAAATCTTGGTTATACCTGTCACCTCAACCTGTATTAGTTGTCACAAGACTCACTAGATGGAGTAACTAAAGAAGAGGAAACTGAATGGATGAAAAAGTATTTTTTGTTTTTAGTATTTCACTTGAGAAGGGACGTGTAGCATGCACAGACCTACAGGGACTTATCTGCTAGTGTATTTGGAGGCAGAGATAAAACAAAACTGCGAGGCAGACGGTTGTAGGACTACTGCTGCTGCTGACATTCCTGTAATTGTATTATACCAGTGTGAATGTTTTATGGTCCAATAATATCTATCAATTTATTGTTGCCTTTAATTAGGAGGGAATTCTAGATTATGTACAGTGAGGTAGCGGCTTCAGGCGCGTGGGACTTGACAAACTAATTGAAGTGTTATACCAGAGAAGTTTCTGATTGATGCAGTATTGGGCGTCTTGCAGTATTAGCGAATATGAAGAAGTCACTTAAATTTAGTTTTGTTTCACAATATGAAATGAAATTGATGTGATAAACAACGTCTTGCATCAGCGCCTTCTCTAGTGTTCGACAATTACGAAAAATCATCAATAAGGAACACAGAGTTGTGATACTGATATCTAAACTTAAACAGCGCTTATATGTATCAAATTCCAAGTCATGGCGGTAGTTAGTTCACCTGAGTTTATCGTGAAAGTGAAGGTGAAAGAGGGTCCCATAGCCATGACTGTTTGTAAGGGACAGTGTCAACACAGCACACAGGGCGGCATCGTGGTCGGCACTGCATTCGAATACCTTCACCTCCCAACTATATAGTTAAGTACGGTACGAATTACAGCTGGGTGGAATTGGGGTGATCCGGGATCGAACCAACAACGCTTAGTACAAGAGGCAAGAGATGTGCCCTCATCCCGTGAACTTATCGTAACAAGTGGAAAAATATGAGCTTGCGTTATAGAGATGGCTAAGCTGTTTTAACCTGCTGAAACACTACCATCTGAGGTCTGTTAAAATATAGTGCGCCATACTCTTGACGTGCTTACCTGAGCTGTTCTTTCCCGCTCTCACACTTACTCCGGGGTACTGGACCACCCTCACATCGTCTTCTCGTGTTTACACCCAATCTGGGTGCACTAGGCTGAATCTCAGGTTTTCCTTGACGTCCACCAGCACATAACCACAATCATTTCCTTATTTCCTTCCCAGGAGGAACGTTAGGGGCCTCCAGGGTGCAGACGGCTCCTTCGTCTTAAAGAGGGTGGATTGTCGGGGGACAGTAATTGCTGACTGACGTAAGACCCGACTCCACTTCCTTCTGCAGCCTTCACTGCTTCCCTGACAACCATTCCTCTGTGGAATGTTATCATCTGTCTATATCTCCTGACATTATCTTTCTCTCTGACACCAGTTATCTAGGCTGCCTCTACTCACCTCTACCAGATATCTGACAACAAACTTCACCATTAAATCTTCTTTACCTTCTATGTCCTTTATCTTCCACCTGACTCCTCAGTTATGTGGAATTCTTCAACTACTTCACCACTTGTCACGGATATTGATCTCTTCGCGGGATCCCTTGTTGCAGGAGAATACACTTTACACAATAAAGAATGTTTCAACACTACCGTGGATGATCCCAGTAGAGTCAAGACCCTTTATTCACTCCAGGTTAAGGTCATAGATAGATAATAATCAAGCATCCAATCCTAATACCTTGTTATCACAAACAGTTTTCTTACACAATTGAGTTCTTTTTCACTTTTAACTTTTTGGGGAGTTTCCTGGTGGTCTTCTAGTCATAATACATCCACCCTCACTCCCTCCCTGTCCACACCGACGGCTACGCTCTGGGAAGGCTCGGTGGTCTTCCTCGCGTGGTTTAAACTATGAGTTTCCCTGGGATGATTATCGCTTAACTGGCCACGACGCCTCAGGATATGCTGACCACAAAGCGGAAGTCATCGTGTCTGGGAAGTAATCCAACATCTTTTATTTTACTAAACTAAGTCTTTCTCTTAGTCGTTCGTGCTCTGACGTCAGAGATAAAGCATCATACCCTGAAACTCTTCCCTTCTCCTGACTCTCATTCTGCCTTTACTCCTACTCCTACTCGTCAAAACAAGTACACTTATATTCAGATTAAGTATGTCTTCACTTCCTCTTCATCTGATAACATTATTTTGCTTTTACCTATCCACTTAATTCTTTTGATAATTGAATATCTTTCTTCACTTTCTATCCCTACAAACACCCAGAGATGTTGTTATGATTGTGTAAATAATCTATTGCATTATTCAATGTTTTTGAAATTTAAACAAACTTGAATGGTAAATGCTGATTAAAAAGAAATGAAAGAATTTTGATTTAAATATATTTTTTTTCATACAATTCGCGGCTCATAACAAATATATAGTTGCCGACCAACACGTACCAACATGAGAGTGCATCGAGGTGTTTGGTACAGTTCACAAGGTTAACGATTTGACAGTAAGAGGGCGTGGCCTATGACAAATCAGGGTCAAGACCCACCTTTCAGAGGAACCCAGAACTCCCCCTCACTCCCCCTTCCTCTCTCCTTGCCCCCCTCCCTGCCTCCTCCTTCACCATGGCACTGAGTGAGTATATAAGTGGGAAGCTCTGGCAGTCAACAACACAGTTCCTCTCATCTCCCACAATATGAAGGTGAGCCAAGACTACACTAGTACATCCTATAGAGTGTTGTTGTTCATATACTTACGCTACGATGATAATATTTGCTATAACACAATGTACTCCAATATGACTTCTTTACATATTAATTATATCGAGTTGTTTCAGATATCATTCCAGTGTTAGTCTTGACATTGAAAAACGGATTAAATACAAAAAACTGTAAATAGATTGATAGACTATGTTAACCTTAAATAATTATCGTTTTAAAGTATTGAGTTAAGTTACGTCTTGCTGCCTATAGGAAGTATGAGAACTGAAATATCGTGAAGAGCAACAACCTTTTCATTACAGTTTAGCAAATTGCATAGTGGCTAAAAAAAATGTTAGTTCAGGTCTATATTACTGCACCAAACATAGGAAAAAGAAAGTGGATCATGTGAGGCTGGTGCGTGTAAAATACTGGTGTGGTGAATTACGTCCGCTGTTCCTCTACACAGGTCGTTCTTGCTCTAACTTTATTGGCTGTCGTTGTGGCTGCCCCGTCCAGGCCCCGCTATGGTCACTCTCCAACTCCATCCTACAGGCCTGCCCACTACAGGCCTGTTCCATCATACAGTCCCACTCCCTCCTACAAGCCCACTCCATCATACAGGCCCACTCCATCCTACAGGCCCACTCCAACCTACGCCCCAACTCCATCCTACAGGCCTGCACCATCATATAATGTAAGTCCCCCTATTAGTTTTATATTTTCTCTCAAGCAAATATATAGTTATTCTGTCATACAAAAGACTGTAAATATAATAATGCATTACAGGGTTCAATAGATGTGTTGCGAAGTAGAATATTTGTCCATTATATATAATAATATTTTTATTGAATCTTCCCCAGACTGTTCCTCACTACACCTATAACTACGCCGTGAAGGACGACTATTCCGGTAACGACTTCGGCCACCAGGAGAACCGTGACGGCTACGACACCCAGGGGTCGTACTCTGTGCAGCTTCCCGACGGTCGTCTGCAGACTGTGACTTACAATGTCAACGGAGACTCAGGCTACGTGGCCCAAGTCTCTTACCAGGGAGAGGCTCAGTACCCTCACTACCAGCCATCCTACTCCCCCGCCCCAGCCTACACACCCACACCCTCCTATGGTTAACTGATAACATATTACCTTGTTCATATTTATTCCTGACCAATAAAACGCAAGAACTTTACCCAGAAGTTATCTTTCCCTGATGAAGTGTGTAAGAAGGACAATTATCCACACAGCCATCGCCAGTCACTTAAATGGTGATCAGCTGCTAGTTACAAAATATATATGAAGTTTGTAGCTTTTAAGTAAATATAATCTTTACTGACCCAATTAGCGTACCTTACCCAATCTAAACTAACCTAGCCTAACCTAACCTTACCTTACCCTAATAATTCAGGTACACTTTGGTCTACAGTGCATTGTGATATTGAAAAACGTCTTAAATTAAATAAAATCAATGATATAATTTACTGACTAATTTCCATAAAATTATACCATGTCATTTTTCCTACTAGTCTTGTTATTGTAAACTCGACCACTGATAAAATTTTATCCTGGTGACTTGAGTGTAGACCTTCCTGATGGTGGTGAAGTGATGGCTAATGGTAGTGAGTGTTTGTTATGTGTTTTGTCCTTACTCGTGAGGAAGGTGTTAAGGGGTGAGGGTGAGAGAGGGTGACAGTGAGAGGGGAAGAGCACTTAGTCTTATAAATATAGACTGCGCGGACGTGTCTCACATGAGGTGCA